ATCTCATGAGGGCATCTCAAGGTGGGGTGCGGTGCTAAGCCTCAGAGTGTCACTAGTAGAGGAAACACCAGTAGATCTTCAGTATTTCAATTCCTATTAGCAAGAGCTAGCATTTTTGTGCTCCAATTTCCTGAATTTGAAAAAATATATACGTGTGTGTTTGCATCCAGTCGATGTTTGGCATCAACTACCCCATCCCTACAGCTACCACTAAGTGCTGAGTCCTGCTGCCTCTTACAAGAGCTGTGCAAGGAACATAAACGCAGAATGAGGAGCCCAGCTCTGGGCGAGAAGTTCTGAAACAGGAACACTATGCAGGTAGCTGGCTGTGGGTGCTGGGGCTGTTGAAGTAAAAAATAACTTTAAATATGGCAGAAATAATAGAAACTGAGGAATTTTTGATCAGTGGAGCTCTGCATAATTCAAAAATATTATCCTCCACCTCTCTAGTTACAAACTACTTATGTGTTGCAGGTTTTACCACTCTAATTAGATTGTAATTACTCTGTTTACATCGTTGTTCATGGCAAATATACATGCATGCCTTGCCTGCACCTCTGGAGCCAATCAACCACTTGAATCTTTCTCGAATGAGAAAGGGGGTCTTTCAAGGCAGGGAAGAGGCTGAGCCTCCCTAGCCCCAGCAGGGGGGATGAAAGCATATGCAATTTGGCTTTGCAAGGGAAAACTAACCCTGCACTGCAACATTACCTCCCGTAGCCCTCCTCCACTCGCTCCCTGCACTCTCGGAAGGCAGAGGGCCTGCACACAAGGCACTCAGGAAGGGTCTGCCCCTGGGTGCTGTCATGGCCTTGGACACCAGCAGCTCCATCTGAGCTTTCATGTAGAGTGATTGCTTTTGGAGCAGAGCTGACAGAGCAGGCCTGAGGAAACCTCAGCAAGGTGAAGAGTTCCATGGAGACTGAATGTGGTTTTACCCATGCCAGGATGGAAGTAGGGTGGTGGGGTTGGCAGGTCAGTGGGCTGGAGGTCTGGGGATGGCAGCCTTACAGAGACAGGGATGAACTCCAATTCATCCAGTTCACAACAGCACAGATGGGCACTGCTGAACATGCACGAACTCCCATGTGGTGGATGCAGTGAAGGGAGCATATTTGAAAAGCAATGTGTCCTGTGATGTTTTTAATTGGAAGTTCGATAATTTCTTCCCCAAGTAATTGCATTGCCTTGATAAACATGGTATCTAAAATTAGCTTCCCCAGATAAAGACATTTTTGCCATATTTACTACATTCCTATACAGGCACTGAAAGCCAGCTGTTTGGGCTGGGTTATGGAGACAAATCCGTTTGTAACTGTAATGATGTGGCATTATTAGTGCTGGAATTAATAGGTTTTTTTATCTGTCTACATCCTATGCTCATTTTTTCCATACTGAGATAGTGCCAGAGGAAGCATTACAGTATATAATTAAAACCAGAAATGCCTTGCAGTAAATTTAACAGTAAACACTAATGGAATTTCTAGCAAAAAGTAGTGCCCTGGGGGCTAGTTGGAAATGACCTAAGAAGGACTTGGTGTTGTTGCTATTATGGATTTCAGCTGAATCTGTACAGTAGAAAGGATTCGCAACTGCTGTTTACTCATGCAAGCTAAAGTTCTCCGTAGGTGCAGTCCCTTACTACCAGATGAAGTCCATGAGGCTGGGGGCACGCTTGCCAGCTCCTGGTTCCTGCTCCATCCATCAAAACCAAAATTCCCCTGAGCTGTGACAGGACTGGATAGCCCAAATGGGACAATGCTGTCTGCTAGCAGTGACCTAGCAAACATAGCGCTCCTAGCAGTGGCGCGTAGCTGTAGGCTTCAAGCGACTGGCCTGGCAACTTTTGGGGCATATGCAGGTTTGCTGTGGCCTTGGCCAGATGCAGTCTGTAGAGCCAACTGGGTGGCTGTGGGTGAAGCGTTTTGCTGACAGGCAGGGGTGGCTGAGAGGCCTTGCAGAGCTCACCCAGGTTGGCTGCAACCCTGCTCCTCCAGCCAGCCGGGCTGCTGGAGCTCCCAAGGGCCCTGGATCACTGGCTGCAGCTCAGTTTCTTCAGGATGGAGAAGTGAAAATAATCTGCAATTAGTGGCCACAAGTATTTGCCATCATTCTCTGCTCTGGAGGAATGGAGCTGCTGCCAAGTGAGAGTGGAAGCCAAAGGGTTTGGTACAATGCAGGGGCCAGAGCAGAGTTTCTTAAACATAGTCTTAGAGGCACACAGCACTAGTTTCCTTTTTGGCAGATATCAGTCCTGAAAAATGTGGCAAGGAGAGCAGGATATTCAGTCAGCCCTTTAATAACAAACAGCTGTAATAAAGTCCAGGCTTCCTGCAAGTCCCAGTAAATTTTGCCACCAAGCTAACTGGAGCCAGTGCTCCAGATCCTGTGGCTGGGAAATGTCACAGTGGAGAGAACCCAGTGCGGTGAATTTTCTACTCCCATTTGACCTTTTCTCCTTCTTCTCTCACCTTTCTTTCTTCTCTCATCTCCACGAGGACACCGTGTGTCACTGCAGCTTTTCATAGCAGCTGGCACTTTACAGCAACAAAAGCAGTCCCAATAAAACACTTTGTACCTAGCTGTAAGGGGGGAATCTTCAAAGGCTGCCTTCTCTCTGGCTATTTGATTTCAGAGCATGTACCCAGGAGACAAACAGCCAGCTTGAGGGTCACCGGCACTCTTGCCACTTTTGGTAAGAAGGGAAGCTAAGGCTGAGGGCAGGCCTCTGTGCAAACCTCTGGTTGGTTACTGAAATTGTTGAACCATCCAAAATACACAGAATACTTCCCCTCCCCCCTCTTCCATCTTTTTTTTTTTTTTTTTTCATTCCTTCATTCTTTTTAGAGACAAGCATTAAAAGAAAATTGCAGTCTGCTATTTTCAGAGCAGCTACATGTTTTTTGATTCATTGGCATCCCAGTCAAACACTGACCTGCCAAGGGCATTTATCCCTGTATCTGTACTCTGAAATGAGGTCCAAGTTTCACAGCCATTAGGCAGCAGAGCCGATAAATGCTGTGATTTAGAGGTTCCCTAATGGAATCTTTTTCCCCAGAAGAAATTCGGAGTAAAATCTGGAGAAAAAGCAATAAGCTTTAAAAACAATGTGCCAGGCTGAAGGTGAGCAGAGACGCAGCTGCCAGGCTTTCAGCCAAGCCTGCCTTAGAGAGGGATAATGGGCAGCTGGCCAGGCCAGCAGCCTGCTGCCCTGTGAGTGGGTACCTGTACTGTGCTGGACACATGCACTCGTCCAGGCAGGAAAATCAGCTGCTGGTAAGAGGTGGGGGAACTGTGGCCTCTCTTTCCCCTGGAAACTTTGCCTTGAACAGCAGGAAGGAGGACGGGAAGGAGCAATGCCTCTGGGAAGAGGATCCTAGAAGGGCTGAAGGAGAGTGTTGAATTGTGAGATTTCCTTCCCTGCTCCACTAAGACAGAATATATCTGATCTCAGATCAGCAGCTCTTGGGAGACGGAGAACTGGACCAAGGCTGCAAGCATATCTTGGGATCATCTCTCACCATGCACTCAGTGACTCCAGAGTGCGCTGTCAGGGCCCCTCAGGTGGTGGAAGGTCAGAGATGCAGATCCTCACTGTGAACTACTTGGCTGCAGCGTGCGTTGAGGTGTAAATCACACGTGTGAAAAGGGACAGTAACAGATTTTCAACAGCAATAAGAAAAATGTCCTGTTGCAAAGAATCGGGCACGCTGTGATTACGTGCTCTGTAAAGGCTTTCACTTGCATTATTAACTCATAAATGTTTGACAGCCAAATTATGGGCTTATCTCAGATAGCCAATAATTACTGCTTGATTCTGCCACGTCTGTACCTCACAGTAACAAGAACAAAAGTAGGTCATGGCAAACTTGGGCAGCAAATTCCAGCAGCCTGCCTGCGAATAACGCTTACAAAGTTGGGTTTCGTACCTCTCATGACTTGCAAGCTCTCGGGGAATGCTGAAGAGTGAACAGGACTCTGCCTGCTGGGTATCACCACAATGGTGGCCACACAGCCAGTTTCTCATTCCCTCAGCAACCATGGCAGAAGCCACCAGTGACAAACTCGATCTACCACTCTGTTGCCCTTAGGCAGACAGCCAAAGCTTATTTTCTACACTGCCTGTATCCGGTTATGAGACCTGCTGACTCTAACTGCCCAGACAGCTCCCAGAAGCTGTGGATTTGCCTTTATTAGAATGGACTTTTAAAAGTTAAGATAAAGCTTAAACAGGACTGAAGAAAACAATGTGTAAGCCAGATCCTAATTATACTTGGAATACCACCCCTTAATTGGCTGTCGAGGCTTTCCAAACCAAATTCTTCTTCAGATGTCCTTTCAATTGTTGGTAGAAATTCAGCTCAAGGATCAAACAAATCTGAGCTGCTTTTCAAAATACATTTTTAGAAAAGAGCAGATGTGGGCATGCAGAAAAAGAAACATGCTTGTAGCAGTAAGTTTGATTATCTTGTGCAGCAAGCTTTCAAGTGTTGGACAGAAAGCACAAAGCGAGACTATGCAGTGGCCTCTGCCAGCATCTTCTTGTGACTTGCTTTTAAAACCTGTAGGTAGCCATCCACAGCGAGCATAATTGTGTCAAACTTTGTCACTGCTAGTTCTGGTCATATGCACTGGTCATTTGCTCTCAGAATCCTCCTGCAATATTGCTCCTGATACCGATGTGTGCGTTACATTTCAAGTCCATTACAGTGAAGTCTTCACAGAAGCCTCAAGTCCTCTCCTGTCCCCACCTGTCAGACAAAGCAACAAAGCACGGAAACTTCCCCAAACAGCCTCACTCTCAGTTTGAAATCCAGCTGCAGTGTGGAGAATTGATTTTTTTTTTCCCTCTGATCTGAAGAACTCCATTTCTAAATTCTAGACCAGACTGTTCTTCGCTGCCTTTCAGGCAAATTCAATATGAACAAAAAACTCAAATGGCACTGATGAAGCAAGGGTGTTAAGGGACAAAGCACAAACTAGTACAAAAGCCTTGAATGTTCTATTTAAAGTGAATTTATTAAAACATTGTTAATATAAAATGTGACCAAGTACATTTTTTTTTGTAAGAATGTTTAATAAAAACATATGAAAGAAAGAAGGAGCATCATCAACTCTTGTCAAAGCACAGGAAAGAGCTACCAGGATAAGTATAAAGTTCTGCAGCATGTTCTACCAGCTGGTCCCAATGTGTATCAGGGTAGTGTTAGCCAATGGAGGAGACAGACGGCCCAGGTTTTGCTTTAAGAAGTTTCAATGCAGTTAGCAGAGATATGAAATAACACCCCTCAACAGTATGAGAGTTTGCTTTAAGATCTGCCCATTTCTAAGTAAGATTAGAATACACATCCTAACATTGGATTTGAAACTTTTCAGCAGCTAAATGCATAGAAAATTGGAGTCAATGAAAGGAGTAACACCCAGGGTTAGTGTTTGTCAGCTTTGAAAAGGAGGTGTAAGTCAGCACTAATTACACACCTAAATGTTTTTTTGCTGAAGTTGTTCTAAGCTATATTAATGCTTGTAAGATTACTTGTAAGAAATCCTAAAAACAGACAGCTAAGAAAAAGCAAGCTGTAAAGCCTAGGCCAAGAGAAACAATTATAGTATTTTGTGAACTGCTGAATGCAGAGACAATATCTGTGAATTAGGGAACGTGTGCATCTCAGGAGGGATATTTAGAAGCCTCTGAATTCTATACATAAGGCTATAGAATGGCTTATACTCTGTGGCAATCTGCCCTTTAGCTAAGAAACCTTTTAAGAAAACTCTAGAAAAGCTGGAGGTTTGGGGCTGTGTTTTTCAGAGGGCAGCTTACAGCATTTTCCTTGGTCAGCAAGTAAGTTTTAATGCTCTATCAGCACACAATGCTTGTTTGGAGCAGGCAGTACAGCAATTAGAGGCAAGGACTCCTCCAGTACATTTCAAACGCTTCCTGTAACAGACTTGGAGTAGGCAGAAGAAAACCCTGCAGCAGCCAGTTCTGTGCATGTCACTGCCTCTGGCATTTAACCAAATGCTAATCCATGAGAAGCCCAGCACTGTCAAGGTCTAGGAGATGGCGACCTTCTTACAGATTTGGCAGGGACCTACAAGAGCCATCAGAGTCCCATGCTTTGCCTTCTACCCCAAACAAACGCTACGGGACTACTGCTGAGGTAAAGGGAAGGTCAGACCTTTGGCATTGGAGCAGACCACCCACTGGTTGTGCGTTGGGGGAATTAAGGCTTCAAGGTGAGGTAAACACAGTGAGAGTCAGTGTGTAAATCATGCTGCATTTCGGAGACAACAGACTCAAATGACAGCTAACCTTGTTCTCTACATTTAAAACACCAAAGATCATTCGAACGCAGAACTGCTGAGGGCCACCTTGAGATGCTACTTTGCATCTTGGGAATAAATGTAACCCAGATGTTGAATGCTGAAGAGAGAAAATACCCACCAGGAGGAAAAAGCACCAAAGTTTGTAAGTCTTTGAGACTGTAAGTTGCTTATAAATACAAAGAAGCCTCATACTGCTAGGACCTCCCATAAACATAGTGGTTTCCTGACACAAAGGTAATTCACACTGCAGCAATTACCAGTGCTGTGCTTCCAGCACCACTGTTAAGAAGAGTTATGCTCTAACAAGGAGGCAGTGAATCGTTAGGCTTGTATTCCCTGAAGACTGTTTCTCCCATTCATAAGGTGTTGTCCTATTTCCCTTCCCCAGTTCAAGTCTTTAATCCAAAGATCAGAAACATCAATTCTTTCCTCAGGACATTTCTCTAACACTCTTCTGGTTATTTTAGCAGATTTATAGGGTAGAAGAAGTGCTTCTTTGGATCCATCATTTTGGCAATACCTCTGCCCTCTTCAAAAGAAAAGTATTTTCAAATAAGTAATACAAAAGTTACTTCCAGACTACATGAGATACAGAAATCAACGCACTCTGTATGCTTATTTTTCATACTGCTTTTGCTAGTTATCTGAAGTACAGAATCATTTGGTTTATTTTTTGGAACCACTGCATGTGCTATGCTATTACTTACAGGCCATGCTAGCAAGGTTTCAATTGAAAATAACAACCTGCTCCTGTAGGTTCCACTTCTCAGATGCACAGACACTTCATTTGTTTTCCTTTAACATCTGTTTGGTAACTTCTCCCATCCTCTCAAAACAGTAGCTACTAAAAATTTAACAGATTTTAAAAATAAATCAAAATGAAACCACACATCTAACACTGTTTAAAAACCAAAAATGCATCTGGTATTACAAAAGTTTATACAAAGGCAACATTTAAGAATTTGAAAGTTACTTCTAGAAAAAGACACAAATACTAGTAAATTAACACATGAAGAGAAAGATGTCTCACTCCTTCCCCAAAATTGGTTCGGACTATTTTGATGCACCTTTTACCAGTTGTCTAGAAAATCAAAGCCAGTCTTCAAGATAACATTGCTTGTACTAGTCTGCAAGAGGAAAAAAGAAAAGATGTGACTGTTAATTACAGAATTACAGTACTTGACTGCTTATCTACAAAAGAAACTTTAAACTGTTGTCTGCCAGTATTTCAAGTCCTTCATCTTGCTTAGGATGCCTAAGAATCTACACTAAATACTACCAGACACGAAGACAAACAAGAACAAAAATGCAACTCCAAGGAAGCAAATAATCCTACCGATCTGCAGGCAAAAGGTAATTTTGTGCCCATGATCATAAAGATCAACTTTCAGAGTAGGGTGAGCACTGCAGAGAATGAAAAAAACCAACAGCCAACAACACAGGCATTACTCATCCAAATGGATTGCCTGTTGCAGTGACAGCCAGTTGTTTTTAGAAAAGTATGTGCTTTAGACTCTGTTGACAAGCCATTTTACTTGGCTATCAAGAACATGCTGCTCCTGCAGTACTGCACTGTCAGCTGTGACATATGCAGTGATTTCAGTGTTCAGGAAGACTGTTCAGGAGATACGTGTGTCTCTAAAGTCTCTATTCCTACAGTGTGACTTTTCTTCATTTTCTCTTCATTTTTTCTCTTCATTTCTCTTTCTGCAATCTCTTCCCTGTTCTGGGGAAAGAATCCAGAAAGAGGGAGCGAAGAAAATTCTTTCATGCAACCCTGTCTTCTCACTTTCTGATATGGCAGGTTTGCTTCTGCATGGATAGGAAAACCAGGCTTTTCAAACCACTCCAGTGAGCCAGAAAACATTCCAAGGAATTAATACTGAACAAACCATTATGATGTAGGAAATCATGACACAGTTTTTATCTAAAATGAAAGAACCACTGCAGTCACAATTTGTAGTAGAACAGCTCAAAAATAATGTTTTCACTTCGGGAAAAAAAACACACTACAACCTAAAATAAATGTGGCTTAAGTAAAGTTCTCTGAAATACTGCCACTCTCTTCACTTTCAAGCATTTACCTCAGCCTGCATCTTTCTGACCTTACATCATCTTGTTTGGAATTTAAACAATCACCAGTGTGAAAACCAGTGGTAAGAGAAAGCTTTGTGACATGCTTAAGGTGTACAGTAATACATTAGGCTTGAGTGCAGTGCTGCATTTCAAACAGAACTGCATGGCTTTGTTTCAAGAACAGTTCTTCACAGCTTTTAGGCTTTGTGTTTCTTTCTTCTCTTTCCCTCACCATGTCATATCCTGTTGTTCCTTTCCTTTCCTTTTCTTTTCTCACAGATCAGCATCTGCTTTTTAAATAGATCCATCGGGCTATTGAGCTGCCTAAGGTTCTTTTTTGTTGTTATTTGTTTTTCTTTAAGAAAAAAAAAAAGCCACATTCAGAAGGCTATTCTGGGAACTCATTCCATTTCCATTTTGGACTTTAAGAGAAAATACATTTAAAGCTGTCCAGCTGCCTGGGACAAAACACTGCGACACGGCTGCTGGGCTTAGAACAGCTGAGAAATAAGCTCACCATTCACTGTTATGTGTGTGTACCAAGAAAGAATCCTAGATTTTAATTTTCCTACTGTTCAAGTTAAGCTTTTTATAAGAAGCATTCAGCTGTTTCAAGAAAAAAAAAGTTCTTTAATTTTATATGGTAAGCTCCCTACCCTAAATGCAGGTAGCTTGCTCTCAAGTCAGCCAATGGATGCCACGTCAGTGTTTTAGTTGTTATATTTAAATGATGCCCTTATCCTATGAACTTTACTACATTAGAAAATACTATATTGAAACAAACAGCAGCAGTTGACACATCAGTTAAATAGACTTCCCTAAATTTGCAGGATAAAAAGACAACAAGCTTATCTACGTTTTAATACTTCATTTCTAATCTTTCAGAATGACTTTGTCATATTTTAATATGTTACATGGTTTTTACATTCAAGGAAAATGGATACAGAAGTCTTTACCTGTCCAGCCTTTTGTGGATCTGTAAGTATAGTACCATCAGTATCTTCCTTGTTTGTCCTAGAAGATGCCAGGTCCTGTGGTGGGTCATGAAGAAAGAAATCATCTAGAGAACTAGAAGGGAGTTGAGTGGGTCGAGGTTTCTCCCATTCAAGAGATACAGAAGGTAGACTGGGGGTAACAGACTTCTCAGGTTTAGTTACGCTGGACTTGTCAGCTTTTGCCACCTCCTTTGGAGCAGACTCTTGTCTGTAAAACGAGGGAAGGGGTTTCTCTCCTTTCTCCATGGACTTGATCTGGCTGGGGGTCAAGGACTGGAACTCAGACTTGTCTCCTTCAAACTTGGAGCGTTCTGCATTTATCTTCCAGAAAGAGGACTCCTCATCCTTTCTGGGTGCTATTAACCCATCAGAGCCAGGGGTCTTAGCCTGAGAAGATTTAGGGACTTGGACGCCAGGTGCTGCTTTAAGTGGTTGCCTCTGTTCATTTTGTGACTGGGCACCACTCTGTTCTTGTATGGACAGAGATGCAATGCTGAACTCCATCTGACTCTGTTCAGGAATAAAGGAAAGAAAAAAAAAGTATTTCAGAGCCCTTCACAAAGACACGGTAATGAAATTCTCAGCTTGATGCATATAGATAATATTTTTACCAATATCTAGGCAATTCTCATGCAGCAGATATCACAGAAAAGCCATTCATTTTTTCCATAAATGTCTAAAATAATTATTAACAAAAGTCTGCAATGCAGGCACATGAAAAAGTCCCAGACCTGCTGAAAAGGAGTCAGAGGAAAAACAGATTGATTATATGAATGTGGTTGAAAATATGATTTGAGTTACCATCCAAGTCCCATCCAAGATAGCTTATACAATCATAGAGTCACCAAGGTTGGAAAAGACCTCTGAGATCATTCAGTCCAACCGTCCACCTATCACCAATATTTCCCACTGGACCACATCCCTCAGAACAGCACTAAAACATTAGAATAGATGTGTATGCTTTCTGAAAGCTATACGTGTTTTACACAAGAAGATTAAGCAAATGAAAGCACAACATGCTGAAAAGGCAGTCTTCCAGTATAGTCTTCGATACAGTTGGCAATATGTTTTAATTCCATCTACTTCCAAGACAGAGTACTAGATGTAATGAGTATGTGTAAATCAGTAGTTTTGCAATTCTAATGCCACTCTGGCGTAAGAAACAACTCCAGCAGGGCCTGTTCAACACTCACCCCAGAGCTGTGTTTTGGTTTTACTTGCAATTAGGATAGCTGCACTCATTTGTGAGAAATCACACTGAGTCAATGAAGACCGTAGCTAAGGCATGAAACAGATCCTGCAAAAGCCACCCAAGGGTGAACAGTGCAACGAAACGTTCATTTTGCTTACCACCACTTCAGCACTCTTGGCTGCCAGCTTTATAGTCTTTAGGCCAGTAAAAGTTAAGCCTTAGTTCCTTCTAAGGAACATTCAGGTGTTACTGTATATGGAACGTCATGGGAAAAAAAAACAAACAAAAACCAGTGCATTTTCAGCTACTGCTACACTCTTGTTACAGACTTGACTAGTTTGCAAAAAGCGTACAGGACATTTCAAACAGTAGATTTTGCCATAAGTTGTTGATACATCTGAAGTCCACTACTAATTTGCTAAGTTTTTCCAATTCTACCTCATTTTGGGACCTTCCTGAACCAAACTGCAACAGCATCTGTAGAATTAATGTTAAAAAAAGTCCAAATTGCATGCTGTTTTTAATAGCAGTCTTTGATGTCAAGTTCTGTGCTATTGTACACGTTCAGTTCAAAGGGACTCCAGATTTAGGATTTGCACACCTCATATTTCACATTCAGTATTTCTCATCAAAATGCAAATGTTAACACAGCCTCTGATTATTTAAAATCCAGATTTGTTTTGGCTTACGTGACCAATTTGTTTTGGACTGGCCAACAGCTGGCTACACATAATTGATTCATGAATCAACATCTGTACTTTCTAAGGAATTATATAATATTAGGTATCTTTCTGAAATTATAGGCAGGGAAGCATTAGATTGCGTGTTTCCATTAAGAATATGCTGTGTCACCAGATAATGAAGGATATTAAACACACTGCTTTATTTTTATTTTAAACCCAATTTTCCACTTGATGAATTTTGTGTAAACACAACGGTGTTGAGGATTATTCAGTGACTGCTGTTCTCTGTATTAATTTATAGGATTTGTTCCCCTAAGCTCACTTGACAATACTATTGAATAGAGATTTACCATCCTGAAGTTAAGATGCTTTAAGACTTCAAAAATGACAAAATCCCACCTTAAAAAATCCTCAAGCCACAATATAAAGTGAACACACATTTCCCTAATATCCAAAGGGAAAAAGATAATCTTGCTTTGTTTTTATTGCACCTTGGAAAACTTAATTCCTGCATGAGAAGGTACTTGAACCAGGGCCATTTCCTATCCTTCTGCAGTCTCCTTTCTTCTCAGCCTGCTCCAGAGCTTACACTAGAGATGACACTGGTAAAAGGCCATTGCAGGAGCACTTTCAGTAAAATGATCCTTTCCTACCTCAGTTCAAGTGAGAAAGAGGGTCAGTGCCCAGAGCAGAGAGAGGCCATCCCAGCCCTGTTTCCTCTAGATAGATGCTGGAAACAAAATCTGGCCAAAACATTGACAGAAGAGAAGCTGGAGAAAATTAGAAAGAAGAAAGAAAATGACTTCACGTTTCCGTAGCACCAAGACACACAAAATAATGTCAGGTTTCCTTAAAAATTCTTATGTTGTGGACCAAAAGCCACTTCCTGTGGTCACATTTCATTTTCTTTCAGAAAGGCCCAAATGTCAACCTAGAGCTTTGGTTTGGAAGGAGCAGGCTCCTGCTGGTGCTGGGAAGAGCGTGACCTACAGAACTTCAGACACTTTTAACCTTTCCAACCCAGAGAGGACACAGTCTTTGTCCTTTTACAATGGAGAACACGGGGCAGGGAAAGGAGTTGCACACATTTTTGTATTTTCATAGGGCTGTGAATGAAGCAGTCCTGATGCCCAAATGATCCTGGGGAATAATGTACCAAAACAAGACTACAATTTGAGTAGCTGAAGCGTTGAGATTAAAATCTAACAAAAACTAGAATCTTGATTTGAGAAGGAAAAACACCAGCTCCTCAGTTTGGATGCAACTCTTTAAAGTTTGCTCTCAATTCTTGGACATTTTCACCTTTTAAGTGGTGAAGAAAGTTTCTGAATATTGATTAAATCAGCTCACTCTGTAGATGCCCTGTCGAATTTAAGCTTAATCTAGTTTATCTAGCTTTGAAATACATAAGAGCTAAGCTCACCTTTCTTGGTCAGTCTCTAAAACTCCAGTCAGTGCACTGCTGAGGGTGACCACACCTTTCAACTTTACAAGGAAAACCCACCCAATGTTTAGGTTTGCATATGTGCATCAAGATATACTCTGGAGATGAAGCAGATCATAACGTGATGCTTCATATGGAAAAATCTGATTGAAAACACTTCTTCAAGAGTTCCTCTTTGTCTTTACAACAAGAAGAGACCACACCAATACATTCTGAAAGCACGGAGCTTGGGCATTCTCTAAGAACAGCCCCAAATGGTCAGAAGTACAATTCTGCTTCCCAGGAATTTCTGTGGACAAGTTGCAAGCCTATTTTTCTTGAAGCACTTGCACTTCTTGCTTCTATTTGACTTTAAAGGTTATTTAAGGTGTCTGAAGCTCTGAGAAATGTTGCTGAGGAAAGAAAGTGATTAATATGTGATATCTTCACATATTTTGATCTTCTATCAAAAGTCACAAAAGTGGAATATAACACTAAAAGAAACAAAAAATCACAAACCAGAGCAGCAGATAAATTCATACGGAGACAGAGAAGGGCCACGTGAGAAGCCCTCAATGTAGAAAGCTAAAATGCAATTTCTATGTTATCAAATTCCTTTGCGAGGGTTAGAGCAAAGGATGCCTACATCTTGGACCACTTTTCTGCCCAACAGATAAAAGAGAAAAAATAGGCAAAACTGAAGTTTTTAGGAAGCTATGTCTCCCTCTTTTTTTAAAAAGGCCATATTAGGATATTTATCGCTTTGATCCATTCAATTTATTTAGACCTTACAGGCAGAGATAACCTACCAAATCGTACTCCTATCTGTAGGTGCTCACGGGAAACAATGTATTCATTAAGACAGGCACCACACACTTTAAGGGCCTAATGATTAATGGAATCGGGTTTGAAGTCGTAAATCTATCTTAAAAACAAATGACCACAAAAACTCAGGAACTATTTTTTTTAAGCATCTTATTCACTCATCAGGAATGTGTAGTATTTTACTCAACAGACACGCAAACACAGCCAAAACAAATTGTTTTGCTTGGCAGCCTGAAAAATCTAAATTGTTGAGACAAAGACTGCAGAAACACTGTCAAAAGCAACTTGTTTAAAGCAAAGCTTGATATATATGCAGAGATAAGAAAGCCAAGTTGAGAAGGATTTAGAAAATGACTTCGGTTTGCTGAACGGACAGAATCAGAATAAACATGGGCACAAACTTGTTGCCATTTTTTCCTTTGTTTCCTGTGGGCGTTTTCAGGATCTTTTCAGGACCCTTTCAGAAAGAAATCCTTAGGTCAGCAGAGACCAATCACAATGGTAAAAATAGAGCATACAAAAACAGTCTGTGTGATTTTAGCGCATACCAAAAGATAACATGAAAGAGGCACAGCGCGTAGCTTCAGAGGAAATTTCATTATCTACTATTTGGTGATATGAACGGTAGTCTGGCTCTGGCCACAAGTTTGTCTCCTCTACTGCTGAGTCTGAGCAAACTCACTGTATCAGTGTTTGGCACGTGCCTGGTTTTACGCTCAAAAGCAGCTGTCCAAAGATTGATGCAGGTAACTGAATCCTTAGCCAACAAGACCAGGCCATCAGATTAAAACAAATCTTGAACACAGCTCCTGTTATCACAGTTTATTTCTTTTGCTCAAGAACTAATATTCAGCAGTAGTCTTATGGCACTGATTTTTAAATCTCTGTAATCTAGACTGAAAAGGGGAAGAAAAAAGCCAAAATCTCAGGCATCCCTCTTCCTTCCTTCCAATGAAGTATTGCCACTTATGCCAAATCAATAATTGTAAGATGAAAAAATGGTTCTAATATCAGGCTATAATGGAAGGAGGGGAAAAAAAATCCTTTCCTGATACTTTTTTTTTTTCTTTTAAAGAAAAAAAAAACCCAACACATAGGAGTTGCACAAATCAGGATATTGAAGATTGTCTTTTAGTTTTAGGCCTTCAATACAGGCAACAGTTTGCATATTATGTTTGTTTTGTTTTTTTTTAAAAGTAGTGTAAAAAGTAGCACAGAGGAGAGCTGAAGGAGGAATAAGTGAACCCCTACAGAAAGGACTCTCTAAAGCTGCCTTCACAGCTATTCTAGCTGTAGCAAGACCAACAGATTTTTTTGATGTGCAAGTGTTTGTTTTAAATATCTGGAATTAAAGTTATTTTAGTTAGCAGCATGATTTAGAAATAGGTTCCAATTTGTCCCCGTGCTGCTCTGTGCATTCAATGAGTTAACCAAGGTGGCAGGCAAATTATATATTCTGCTCACTATTACATTCATTAGAAACAAAACAAAATTTTATTTCCAAAACCAGGCATGATTCCTGTTTTCCATTTATATCTTGAAATCCGTGCTGCTTCACTCAATTTTTACATCAAACAGACCAAGAAACCTCAAAGGCTAAACTCAGCCAAAATGTCAGCTTTCATCACACTTAAACCTTTAGCCATAAATAGAATGCCCTAAATTCACAAACCTGGCTTTGGCCCCACTTAAAAAAGAGTAACCCACATTTCCTGTGTTATTCATAAGGGCTCCACCCATGAACCAAATCACTCCATCCAAGTCAGCCTCTCATTCTAAAATGTCACTTTATTTGCAGTGCCATGAGAACGTGTTCCTTCTCCAGTAATTATCCTTCTGAGAAGTGCTATGGTTTTCCATTAAAAACATTAGATCATTCAAATGATGCCTAACTGCTGGCTCAAACATTTACATCGTGTTCCTGCTTTGTTTGCAGCTTCAATGGCGGAAACATTCATGGGAATATTTGACATGTTATGAGCAACTTAACCCTTATCTCATACTTGTGTTTAAAATGAGAACACAGAAAATTTACTTCTGACAGAAGGGAAGTTATCAAATCCTTCTACTACATTCTGTTCAAAATGAAAGCAATTTATTACAGTATTTTAATGGTAAGTGTAACAGCCATGAAGTCAGGGGATTCATTCCATTAGCTACTGTAAGAAAAATGTGTCCATGCCTAATCAGCTGGAAGCAATATTGTCACCACTGCAACACTTCCAACTTGCAGAGAACACAACCCTGCCATTTCTCTGCTGTTCCCTCCACCTCCTCAGTTGTCCAAAAACGGTGTCCTACAAACAACTACTGATTTTGCTATTTCGTATTTTTCCTTACAGTGTTAAAATAGAAGAAAAAGCCTATTGGCTTTACTGATTTAAATCTCTACTTCCTCCTTCTCTGCAGAGGTGGGTTGTCACATTTTTCTTCTACAGGTATGCCAAAACATTGACAGAAGAGAAGCTGGAGAACAAAAATTTGTATGTATTCATACAAAGCTACAGAAGAATGAAGGTACTCTGTTGTAACAGCACTGATATGTAAAAAAACAAAAACAACACCAAAACAACACAAAAGGAAACAAAAAACTCTTCATGAACAGGAGGTAAGGAAAAAAAAAAGGTACAGAAAGAATAGCCCCCCCGTGAGGGAGAGCTAATGAAACGGAAAGAGCCTGACAGCCTAAAATAAGAGTGGGAACAGATGTGGCACACAAGACACCAAACATGCTTTACAACATTGCAACCTTATTAAATGGCCCATTCAGGTTTCTTCACTGTTTCCCCAGGCTGGACTGATTGGGCAAGGGGATTTTCTATTCAGCCAGTTACTCATGGAGAAATTGCATTCCAGCATTTTCTTGTTGAAGTACTGGTTAGGGAAGAGATCAAAGAGTAAGCATGAAGCAAGACATTGGCCTTTAGAACTAGACGACTCAGCAGCTGAAGGGCTGGGCTGGAAGGCTGACACAAAATGATGAGGCACTGGGAAGAAAACAAAAGGAAGAACCCACACAAAGCAACCAACCCGCATGCCATGAAGTGGGACAAAATGGATTCCCTAGAGTTTTGCTCGAGGAAAAATGTCATTCAGCTTTTCATCCTGCAGCTGAAGCACAGCTAGGAAGGAGGGGGAATCAGAAGCACAGTTTGATTAGCTGAGACAAATTCCTAATGCAACTTCCCCTGTTTCACTTTTCTTCAGCAGTCACAGGAGTGTTTCCATATCATCCTGCAATTCTCCACACGTTGCAGAAAAGCATGAACCTGGACCACTGAAGACCTTTATTCTGAGACACCAGAGGGACAGCACAAAGTGCCTTAAGCAGCAAAGGAAAAGCCATAACTTGGGTTAAAAAAAAATACTTCATTAGCCATGCAAGCACTTAAAAGACAACTGCCCATTAAAGAGGAAACCCATCTGACTGCAGATCATCACGGATCACTGGTCAGCGTATTATAGGCAGCACCATCTCCAGGAAGTTAAAATATTCAGAAGTTATAAAATTTTACCGAGACAGAGCTTCAAAATATGATGACAGCTGACACGGTCCTAAGACTGAGTTTTCGGGTTTGTATCAAAAAATAATGGGAGAGACAACATAACTGTCCCCAATATGCAATTTATTTCACCTTACGGTCAAACGAGTATCAGCTCCATCCAAGTGCACTCATACTACAAGCCTTTCTAGTATTATCCTAAAAGTCAGTGGCTTCTTTTTCCAAGGGCCTTGAAAGACAGGAGGGCATGACTGAGCTAGCTGGTTCCTGCTGCCAAAAATCCTCCTGAACACCATAGCTTGTAACAGAGTTTTAAGGTAAGAGAAGATCCACAACGCTTTCTGCTAAACTGCAGCACTGTATGCTGCAGGGATCCAGGAGCCACATCAAGTTATAGGTTAATCTACATCTGCTGAGCACAGATGGGCTGCTAGTTAGAGGCAGTGACCTTGAGCAAGGAAGGCTGACAACAACTATAGGGTTAGGTCAACTGGATTAATTTAGTATCCACTGGCATTTCCAGATAATTACTCTGCATTAGGCTGAGATTATATCCATAAGCTCATGCATGATATCTACACAGTTCAAGGGCAAAAAAAAAAAAAAAAGTGGGTGAAAAGCAGCTTTCTCTGGCAGATAAATCCAGAAAACAAAAAGTCTGAAATATGATTAAATGAGCATGCTCGTCATACGGCCGCACTTGAAGTACGAGTGTTGGTTCACACAGCACACTTGGTGTTTCTGTTGATGTAAACCAAAGTATACCACCTCTGTTTCATTTGCAGTATGGTCACTGTACACAGCTCTCATAGAACAAAGGCAACACTGCCTATCAAGTGTCAAAATATAATAGAAAAGCAGAAGGAACAGCAGCATCAAATGACAAACCAACATTTTAAGTAAAAGTGACTCATATTTACCTTTGTTTCCCAGGAGAATGGAGCTGAGTGCTCATCTTGCCAAGTTATATCCTGAAATAAAATTCAAGAATGATCAAAAATCAGAAGGGCAACTTTACCTGCTTAGAGTATCATTCAGATAACATTATGTTGCACTGCTGGAAGTATAACCACTATCAAAAAAGTAGCTAAAAAGCAAGAGCTCTACTTCCACATATAACTGATTACATATTAAGACTGACTGAAAGCAAGTTCTTTGAGGGAAGGATTACCAAATAGTATTCCTACTTAATCTATAAGGTATATAAAGATTTAACCTGGCCTAAACTTTTTGAAATTGCTCTGCAAATTGCTTTAAAATCTCCAGTTTTCTGCTGCACACATTGCTTGGTAGCTGGTAGCAACACACAAGAATATAACCAGAGGAGCTGGGGCCCCAGGGAAATAAAGTTCCATTTCTTCCGCCCCACAGGCTGAAGAGCATGTGTGCAACCAGGCAGCAAAAAGGCTGCATATCCATCAGCACAAGCCACAGCAGGATCCAGCCCCCACAAGACTCAGCACTATGCACTTTGAGGATGATCAGCCTGAAATAAGTATTTGGTGCTGTTTATGCAAGACTAAAATCCCAATCTGAATCCAAGCAGTACCATTCTGGGAATGCGGTGTGTAGTAGGCGCTGCAACAGCGTTGTGAGGTTTCACAACTATCAGAGGCTCTGCTCATATGTCATGCAGAAAGAATGGTTCACAATATGTCAACTGCTGTGCACGGTCGTGTTCTGAGTGAACTTGCTCAGTTTTCAACTAGTTTTATATAGTTTTAAATAGTTTTCAACTATTACTACATTTCACCTTCATGACTAGTGGAAGGCCAGTATCAATAATGGAAAAAAAAATAATAACAATCCCAATGAGAAATTTAGGTAATCTCTTCATGCACAGCTTGGCCTCCAGAATACAATCCGCACTGAGAAAGAAGGGATGACAAATAAATAAATCAGTTCTGTTGTTGATGTCTCTTCACAACCTGCAATAAAATCACTACACTTCTAGTTCTTAATTTTACCTTGGATGCTCTTATTTTTACATTTTACCAACTCATGCTGGTAAAGGTAATGAGTTGCACCCTCTATACCAAGCATAATGTTGCTTTGCCACCACAGTAAGTCAGAGGAAGAACAGGAGTAGGAATGACTGGTGGATGGATGCATGGATGGATGGGTAAAGGCCCGGATAAACTATGCATTGAGAAAGAGATGACAGGACAATACCTGAAGTGCTTGCATTATACTTCTGCTTCTAAAGTAATAACAGAACTGAAATATGATTTAAGCTAACTACTGCATAGGAATCCCCCATCTTACATGACTGCCCTTTTTTTCATATTTTTGATCTTTGTCTTTATGGAAATGCATTTCTCAAAGACATCTGACAGCATTCTCTTGCTCTGCCATCTCTAATTTCACTCTAGCGAAATTCTATTGGCCAAAGGCTATGAAAATTACAATTAGAAATGTCTGTCCAACTCCTTAACATGAAAACATGTCAGTCTCCAACTGGTTCTCACCTGTGAAATGTACGGTTTCTAAAAGTAAAGTGTTTGAGATATATGAAAGTTATCCCACATTCTCTATGGGGATATAAAAGCAAGATTCACCTGACTAATTCTTTACTGGCTAAGACCTAAGTATCCAAGGTGAGGATGGATGAAAATAATTTTGGATGGATGAAAATACTTTTGAAAATTAAACAACCTAAAGGTTTCCTTTACCTGAAAGGAAAAGCCTGGGCTCTACTGGAGCACATATTCTGGCCAAAGGTAGCTTAGCACAGGAAGTTATTGCTAAGAACACAAATGTAATACTAGAACCTCTTGTTCTGGGAAATGGATACTTCTATTTATTAACATTTAAGGGAAACAGAGTAAAAGTCTGTTATTACTATCTGTTTTGACTTCTATCAGTATTTGAACTGTGAGGTGCTGCTGACCACACTGGAATGCCATACGAGGCATTAGATGGGATGCCTTGAAGCTGGTGAGCTGTCAGATTATTTCAAAAGCATTTTCAGACTGCACCTTTTCACTTGAAAATGACAGAGTTGGAACCCCATTTCTGAAGGAAGCACGACAGGTATCACAGTCCAGGAGGCAACAGAGGTTGGAAAGCGCCCTCTGTGAGCCCAGGCACTGCAATAAGTCACACAGTGTAGGCAGGACTAGAGTTCTGTCTGCACAGGGTCTGCACAAACTAGTACTGGATGTCAGCCATAGCACTAAAAGACAGAAGCGAAGTCCAGCAAACTCCCACGTGGTGTCAGAGAGCCTTAAAGCTCCAGGCATGTAAGCAGAGTTTTCAGTGGATTTTACCTTAGGAGTTTAAGGGAAGCTCTTGCTGATTTAAGTGACTTCTTGTCAGAAGGCTCCGGCTAACTCATTTGCTACGGCAGCTGAGACAGTCCCACATAGCTCACAAGGATTACTTGCTGGAGAACCGGGCATAAAAAACTTAATACAAGATCCCAACCATAAAACAGGTTACAGGTCAGCCATCTGTACAGGTGATTTAAATAAACTATTAACTATCTGACATCTCCAGTGGAAAATAGCAAAAGAAAAACTTGCACTGGTAGCACACAGGGCACAGAAAGTTAAGCTATTCCTTGTAAAGGACTATCATACATTAACAGAACATGCAAAACAGCTATGAACCTCTTTTGAAGTTGGCAGCAAGCCATAATCACATTCGTTCTGGATCCAAGAAAGTTCGTAACTCTCCTGTATCTGGGACTAGTACAGACAACGTCAGGAGGAAACACACCCCTCAGCCCAGCAAAGATACTGCTGCTGCTAGTAAGGCCTGCTGATAAAAGGCTGCCTGAGGAATGACTGGAAAATAGCACAGGGAAGACGGAGTGAAGGTCTGAGGTTGCCATACACCAAGGCAGATCATTCCCTACAGAATGGAGCGCATCAGGTTTCCATTTCATAGAATTTGTTGTTTTCAACTGCCATTGAACTTGCTGGCATACAATGTCAATCTCCAGCTTAGATAGACAAAAAGCTCCCAAAACAAGTTAACAGCATTTTGATATTGGTTGTTAAAAAGTTCTTATTGGAGAAACGATCTAAGACTTCATTGGGTAATTGCAGAAGATGGAAATAGTACACATTTGCTTGAATCATAGAATCTTTGGAGTTGAAAAGGACCTTTAAAGGCCATCTATTCCAACACCCCTGCAATGAACAGGGACATGCACAACTAGATCGTGTTGCCCAGGGCCTGATCCAGCCTTGGAAAGTCTCCAGGGATAAGAGATCCACCAAATCTCTGGGCAACCTATTCCCATGCCTCATCACCCTCACTGTAAAATACTTTTTCCTTATATTCAACTAATTCTACCATCTTTAAGCTTGAAGCCATTTCCTCTTGTTCTATCTTGTTCTATCACAACAGATCCTGCTACAGAGTTTGTCCTCTTCTTTCCTGAAGGAGTTCCCTGAAAGAAAAGGAGGAGATTTTTCATCTTTTTTCTTTTTCTCCTCAGGCTGCTCATCCCCACACACTTCAGAGCCAGTAAATCTGAAGAACCACATTCAAGAGGTCTTCCACTGGATCTAGCAATCTAACATATGATTCAAAGACAGAGAGTTTCAAGGAATTGACGTCTGCAGTTAGCTGAAGAGTACTTGAAGGTAGGATAAAACAGACAGTTACCAAGTTCTGTCCATTGTCATAGAAGGGAATTCTGTGGCTTTCACTTGGTTCTCAGAGGACATGGAGAGGACCAAGGGAGCAGCAGGAGAATAACACAGTTCAACTGCTTTCTGCCTGATGTGCTTGACTCATGTTTGTCACCAACAAAGCCTGAGAAAAGAACTTTGTTTTCCCTAAAATATACAAGTTCTTGCACGTTTGAAGAAAACAGAAGGAAAACCATAAAAAGTTTAAAGATTCACAAAAGTAAATGATGAGTGAAACTTAAAATAGAAAACAGCTTTGAGGCTATTTATTATCAACACAGATTAGAAGAGATCCATATCTGATAAGCTTTTGTTTTCACCACACAACAAAGCTTTCTTCCAGAAAGAAGTCAAATAAACTTTTGTTCAACAACCTATTTGTAAGAAAGTGAGTCTCATAAAACATATTACATATGTTTAAAAAAAAAAAAAAAAAAAAGGTGTTGGAGAGAGCGACACAAAAATCCAGTCATACACTTCACTTCAAGAACCAGCTAGAGAATATATTAATCATAGAATCATAAAATCCTTAGATTCTATTAAAAAGAATCACAAACTATGCCTGCTACACGTAGGCGGCTTGTTGCCAAACAGCATCAGAATTTCAAAAAGGAAGCCACTGGGAGAAAGGTGCCAGCCTATCTGACAGAAGCATTGCTCAGAGCAGCTGACAGCCACTGTGCCATCGCAAAACTACCAACAAATGGGTTTCTGTGCTGGCAGATGCATTTCAGAAGCACTGTCAGAACAGGACTTGCTGGTTATTGTGGTTTAGCTGCGCTCCAAACCACACTGCTTTTCTTATTTTTTAAAAGCACAAATCTATAACAGGCCTGACATTAGAGCTATTGATATATTAAATATTTGCTGCTTCAAAGCATTTTTAAGTAGGAGACAAAAGAGTCGATTCTTTGGCTTGGCAACAAAGTTCTTAATGCAAAGCAAAATAAACACTGTGTCCACCCTCAGGTAGCTTCCCTATCAGAAGATGATGGATGAAGGTAAAAAATTCCCTTACGTGTCTTTCCTCCACATAAACTGTTTAACATTTTCTAAATCACATTGTACTTCATTCAATGAAAATTCTCATTATTGTGATTGCCTGTCAAATACTCGATATCTCAAAAAAACCCCCAATTCTCTCAGCCTTTTTTCACAGGAGAGGTGCTCCAGCTCTCTGAGCATTTTCAGGGCCTCTGGACTTCTCCAAAAGTTCTACATCTTTCCTATGCTGGGTGCCCCAAACCTGGACACAGTATTCCAGCTGGGGGCACACAAGGGCAGAGCAGAGTATTCCTGCTGGCCCCCTTTCTTGTAATGCAGCCCAGGATACTGTTGACCTTTCAGGCTGCAAGAGCACACTGCTGACTTATGTTTGGCTTTTTGTCCACTAGGACCAAGTCTTTCTCTGCAGGACTGCTCTGTGAGTTCTTCTCCCTGTCTGTACTCCTACCTGGAGCATTGTTAAGAAACACAAAACTCTTCTTGAAGGTTGCAGAGTCCAAAAGCCCTTGGCTAATGGCACTCAGGTGACTCGAGACATTTGCCAGGAGTCACACGTGGTGCTGCAACACTCTGGCACTATGATATGACCAGATCGTGGCTGTAGCATGCTGTGGTCCTATTACTGCACATCTATTTTCTGTCACAGTCTTCCCACACAGGTAACATTCTGAAAAATGTTTTGAGAAGTGCTTATGCTTTGAGAACTTCCCAGTCCTGCACGAAAAGTTCAGCAAATCAGTTTGGCATTAGAAGATACATGGGAAAAAAGTGGGAGGAGAAAGAGAGAACCACCTGTCCAGAGATGAAAGACTACTAAATATAAGCTCTGTACCAGCTTATCAAAACAGCCACACACACTGAAGTGAAAGGAAGTGGGGAGGGCTCTGGATGGGTGAACCAGTATGTTCAGCATTCACCCTTATTCTGCCTTCTCCCCGGTCCTCCACAGAACATGAAGAGAAAGACACGAACTTTCTGTGCTTAAGTAAGCACAGGTAGATGGCTACATATTTCAGTGTCAGCTAACATGGAAGCTGTGCTATGCTTCTCTAGCTGCAAATGTGATGCTTAAGTAACTGGTATCAACAAGAACACTGTCAGGACAGCACGCTCACGCTGTAAGGGCTGCAATATCAATTAGAGATTTGGGGGTATGTGAGCTTATGTAGGCTGTTCTCAGCATCCATGCCAGGACCAATCTAATAATGCCAGGTAACTGCGCTAAGTGGAGCAGCTACATCTTACACAGGCAGCAGCGGTACAGCTCAAGAAGCTGCCGGTTCTGAAGGTAGCACGGTAGCAAAGCGCTGTAGGTAAAGCATTTGCAAGCCTGGAAAGTTGAACCGAAATGGCAAGAGTGGCTGCAGTGGCTCTGTAATGGCAGGACAAGGAGGGAGAGATTAGTGAGCCAGGGCAGATGTCCAAGAATCAGGCTGAATGCCAGAGAGGGAGCAGAGGGAGAGGAAGCTATCAGATGAGGTGCCAGGAAAAGCTCCAAGGCTCAACAGTGCAGTTAGAAGAATTAAAATGGAAATGCAGAGTGCCAAAACAAGTGGAACCTCTTTTCTTCAAAAAGCATTTTACATTACTTCAGCTTGAAAGTCAAGGAGAAAGTCAGCTGAGGCATATGCTTCCAAAATTAAAGTTTGTATTTTGATGGACCATGCTTTTGTTGGTTAGTGGCTGCACAACAGCTAAGAACAACATTGTTTATATTACAGCTGCATTTTGGGGGAGAAGGAAAAAAGACAACGGTGTGCAAAAGTTTCAGATGGATGCTCTAGCTGTAATTCGGATGAACAGAAAATATTGTTTCCATATGGTGCAGCACAACCACCTACGACATGCCTTCTTCCCTTCTGGATCCACATAATTCAAAGCAGAAAGCCCAGCAGAGCTGTCTGAGACCAGGAACGCTGAACACACTGTTTCCACAGTCATTCTCCTAAATCCTTTCAAAAATAACTTCAGTTTAGGTTTCAAGGACTGCTCATACAATAAGATTTCTGTCTGTGTCTTTACACTCCTTTTTACCAGTAGTGACTGCCTATTACCAGAAAACACACAGAACTCCTGGTATCACTGACTACATAGAACCTTTCTGCCACAGGAAGCAAAGCACAGCCTTCTGCCACAAAGCCAAGCAGGTACAAATCCCACTGCAGGGATTCTGCCGAGCCAGCTGCAAGAAGCATTGCTCAATTTAAACTAGATTGATGGCTAGAAGCACAGAAGCAGATTGATGTTCTGCTGGTAGTCACGTAAGTTAATTAACAACGGGTCGCTTTAAGAAATTAAATTAAGAGAATGAAAGATATTGGCTCTGAAATCATGCTTAAAAAAAAAAAAACAACAAAAAACCATCACACAAAACAAGCACACTAAGCAAAATGAAACAAAGGGAATCTCACACATGGAAAGAGGGAGTCAGGAGCACTGTCAGATCTCCTCACTCACAGGAGCTCTGGCAATGGGATGATTCCACGCAGGCACCCTCGCACTTATGTTCTCCTGGAACGACTGCCGCCCTTCTCCACTAGACAAGGAACCCTCAGAAGCTCTAACATCTATATATTTTTTGTTATCTACTCCTTCCACACCCTTGTTATTCTTGGCAGGTAACATGGGAAAGACAGCGCTTATTTATTTATTTACTTTAAGGCGTCAAAAATACCAACAGCTGGAATGTCTTCAATGTTTTATTTTTAGCAGAGCCTGAAATTAGGAGCAGAAAGGAAGAGGTTTAACTCGGGGTAAACATTCCGTGCCGCCGCCTTCAGCTCTGGAGAACTTCTGGGGAGAGCTGACAGCGGCCTCTCACTGAGCCTCTGCTTTAGGAAACCCACACCGGGATCCCTCCTGCTTCTCCCGGGCACGCCTCAGTACGCTGCCTTTCCTGTTTCTACGGTTTCACCGAAAGCAGTGCAACATCCCGCCCTCCCGCAGACGCTCTCCATCCATCACCGGGGCAACCCCCGGTCGTCAGGAACCACAGGGTTCCTCCGCGCAACCGAGACACGCTACCGAGCCCCGTTTGCCGACCAGCAGGACCCACCGCCCGCTCGCCCCCGCCGCTCGCCCTCCCCTCCCGCAGGCCCCGGCCATGGCGGACCCCCTCAGGGAACCGACGTGCCGCGCCCACTCAGCGCGGTCGGACGCCGCGCGCGGGGTGCGGCTCCGCTCGGTACCTCGTCGCCGAAGCGCACCACCTTCTGGCCCGTGTTGAGGCGCAGGCTGGGGTAGGAGGCGGGCGCCGCGGGCGGGCGGGCGGTGCCGCGGTGCGCGGCGTAGCGGGCCTGGACGTGCGGTTCCACCAGGCACTTGTCGATGATCTCGTCCTGCTGGCGGGGCGGCAGCCGCTCCCACTCGGGCCCGTAGCGCTCGCGGATCCGCTCCTTCTCCGCCATTATCTTGCGCGCCATGGGGCTGAGCGAGGAGAAGTAGCTGAACCGCTTGCGCTCCCGCTCATCCAGCGGCCGGTTGCCGTTCATCACCGCCGTGCGGGAGGCGGCGATCGCCGCCGCCATCGAGGCCATGGCCGCCCCGCCGGCGCCGGCCCCGCGCGCACCGAACCGGCCGCGCTGTACGGCGGAGCGGGATCCGCCTCCTCCTCCTGCCGTCCCTTCCCCGCTCCGCTGCTGCAGACGCCGCCTCTCCTCGCTCTCTATAAGCGCGGCCGCCGCCCCCTCCCCGCCTCCCGCACGCCCAGCGCCCGCGGCAGCCCCTCCCGGCGCCCGGCGCCCTCCTCGCTGCCCCTCGTGGCCGCTCCCGGCCGGGCTCCTCCCGGCCGGCCGAGGGGCGACCTGCGGGCGCTCCTTCCCTGCGCTCGGAGCTGCGCTCTTCCCCTCACAGCTGTACTTGTTACCCCGGGCAGCTCCTCGTGGAGGAGAGGAAGGAAGCCAGGAATTGTCACTTGCCATCCGAGTTCCCGCACCCCGCCGGCCTCTTCCTTAACATTAAGAGTGGTTTCTGACAACTACAGCTCCTGAGTTTATAAGTCAGAACAAGAGTGCAGTGCAAAACCGGCATCTTGAAAACGTTCATTACCCAACTGCCGCGATCTCCTGAAAGCTGTTGCCAGCACTACGATGAACTTGCAGCATGAGCACGGTTCTCTGCAACCTTAGTTCTTTTCTCTGAATCTGTTTTTCCTAGTACTGTAATTACAGACAGATCTTGCGTTGCATTTGCCTGCGGCTAAATTGGTTTTATCTTTCATCCTTACCAGTTGCACTAAGCCCTTTAATGATTTTCACACTATATTCTGAAATCTCACAAATATTAGGAGATCAATAGGTTTTAATTACTTAGTCTATTTTTTCCCTTTGCACTTTCTCTAGTATGAATAGATAAACGGCTGGGCCTACAGCCTACACTTCAGAGCTCAAATGAAATGGCTGGAGCAGTTGCCTGATGACACAGAAGGGGATGGAAAACAATCTTTACATTTCTCCACATCTCTAGTTCTTAGGAGGTAATTACAGCTCTCCCAGTCACCACATACCAGTCCAGTTATATAATCCTGCTCTGTTTGTTAAACTTGTTTGAGAGCATTGTTTGACTCGAGCTCACTTTCTTAGTCACACATAGTGCCCAGAGAACCACCCCTTCGGAACACCTCTACGCACACATGCAGGTGCAGCAGGCACCGTACCCACACCAGACAGCTCTCCTACAACGCTGTCACTCTGTTGGGACCAAACACCACCACCAACAAAAAAGAAAACCTCACGTACTGTTGTGCTTCTGACATTTACAACTGAGAAACTGACCGTGGACATGTCATTTCTTTGGTTTTATTTCCAAATTATCTTCTCATGATCGCTGTTCTTTTAAGCTGACATCTGTTCCTTCCCTGGATTACAGTACATGAAGTGTCTGCATATTTACCAGTTACTCACACACGTATGGCTTGAAGTTTTCCATTCAGAAGGCAGAGGCTTTGGAAAAAAGAATAAATGGAAGTTGCATCATTGGGACTTTCAATGCACTTTAATCTTTTCTATTTTTTTTTAAAAGTAAAATCTTCACCTGCAGAACGTCTAGAACATAACTGAGATGGGAATTTCTTATTGCTCTTCATTTTGGCCCCTGGAAAGCTGAATTCCCTGTTAGGGTATGTCAGAATACAAGAAGCTAACTGTTTGTTGGTTCTTTTTGTTTGCTTGTTTGTTTTTAATTCTACTGGTCACAAAGATTTCTTTCTGTAGTGATATTTACTCAAATAAGTTCACATACTCTAAAACCATAAGTAATAAACCCAATTTGAACATGTTTTCCCTTTTAAAATAAATTAAGAAGCAGTATACTTTGGCTTTTTATTTGTATAAATTACACCACAACAACAGGTTTTTTTAGACACTGAGAAGAGTCTGTATTTAGCACTTCAATCATCGTTCTCAGGGTTGGAAAGGTCTCTGATACTGATGGTAGGCTCTTGTAAGAAGGTGAAATACTGAAAGAGGAAAAAACAAAAAAGACAATTATTCATTTATTCTAAATTAGGAATTATTTGCTGGAAGCTAACATATTGGTTTACATTTCTGCTTATCCACTTCAACAAATTTGGGATTTGAAGTTAAGAACCTGTTTCCAACCCTCTCAGCTGTACTGTTTAAATTATCAGTGATGTCCCATAGCAAATCAGATCAGGAAACTGATCTGTTTTAAATTGTTTTGGCAGGGTTATTTGTAACTGAGGTTGTTTCATAGCACAGGCTTTCCTCTCTCAACTGAGAGATGAGTGAGGAATGAGCCAGAGAGAAGAAAATGCTAAAAGCTGTCTTTGTTTGATGCTGAGAAAAATATCTGTAGAACCACAACTTAAAGAACAGAAAGTAATAAGTGATGGTAATTACCCAGAGTAGCTAATTTGTCTGTGGTATAGAAATAATAGTGCATAAGATAAGGAAGTCTTGAAGACTTCAAGCTATAAGAAAGGGGAAAGCTATTTCAAGCTATTTCCAAATAGGAAAGTTTCCCTGATGAAGATATGTGAGTGTGAGATTTAAAAAGAGGTTAAGTGTATAAAATAGGGAATTTACAGAAAAAGAAAAAAAAAAAAGTGGGAACCATCAACATTTGGTATTTCTAAGACAACCAAGTCACAATATTTGCACAGACTACTTTTAGCAAAAACCTACAACTGTTAAAGAAACATCAACTGCAATTTGCTACACTAGTTTAAAAATATCACTTCTTAATGAAGGCTGAGCTTGACTGAATTTATATGTAGAATTTAAACTCCTGTCTGATAAAGTCAGACTTGAGTCTTCTTAACAGCATCCGTCCTTTACAAATACATTTTATAGCCTAGCGAAATTCAAACCGAGCGCCACAGATGGAGTTAAATAACATTGAGCAGCATGCGATATTTAGCACTAACACAGAGCTATGGAGTTCTATGGGCTCTCAGGATCACACAGTAGCTCAGGAGGTTTGTGATCCAACATCCCGCACAAAGCAAGGTCAACTGCAAAGACAGCGCAGGCTGCCTGGGGCTCCATCCTGTCAGGTCTTGAAAATCTCCAGGGATGGAGACTGCAGTCTCTCTGGGCAGCCTGCTCCACTACTTGGTTACCTTCAGGGTGAAAAGATTATGCTCAATCTGAACCTTGTTTCAACTCATGTATGTTCCTTTTTATCCTCCTACCAAGCACTGCTCTTATACTTCTAACAAATATAAGAAAGCTGTTGTTAGGGCTAAGCCTTCTCTTCTCCAAGCTGAACAAGATCAAATTCCTGCTGTTGAGATATGTGCCTTGCCATCTTGATGGCCCTCTGCAGAATTCACTCCAATTAATCATTGTCTTTACTGTACTAGCAGTCCCAAAGTTGGACACTGAGTTCTAGGTGTGATCTAAAGTGCTGAACAGAGAATGATTATAATCTCTCTCGATCTATGGGCTTCACTCCTGTTAACAAAGCGCAGGATGCTACTGGCTTTCCCTGCAGCCAGGATTTGCTGCCTACTCATGTTTTGTCTGCTGTCTACAAAAGCATACAGGTCTCTTTCACCAAGTTGCTTGCCAGCCTGTACTGCTGCATGGGATTCTTCCTCTTCAGGGACAGGGCATTGCATTTATCTTTGTTGACCTTTACAAGGTTCCTGCTGGCCTCTTCCTGCAGCTCATCTACATCCTCCAGATCCAGCCCTGTCCTCAAGTGTGTCAGCTGGACACCAAAGTGGGGAGACACCTCCTAATCCCACAAGCAAGAACTCCATTCATTCCATTGCCTCGTCCAGGTCTGTCTCAAGGTAGATTACTGCAGTGGTGCAGTTGTTACTAGGTTACAGGCGAAGCCCGACTCACTAACTACTCTTAAAATCTGATCATCCAAATTGCTTTCTATCCAACTAGTCCATTCATCCAGACCTTTATGAACTATTGCTGCTGTTTAACCCAGCAAGTGTCTAAGCAATATGCAGAAGTTTGTTCACTTCCTTCTCTTCCCAGTGGGATGGAGAAGAAACAAACAAACAAAAAAAAAAACATAGAACTTGTGACTTAAATCTATTTACTAAGATCAAGAAAAGGAAAATAGTTATGACTACATATATATGAATGCATAACAAGTGATGCACAAGTAATTGCTCACCATCCCCTGACCAGTGCTCAGATAGGCCCCAAGCAGTAGGAAAGAGCGAGACAAACTCCTACTCTCTTGAAAAATCTTTCCACTTGACATCATATGGTATGGAACATCCCTTTGGCCAGTTTAAGCAAGCTGTCCTAATTCTGTTCTCTCCCAGCTCCTTAGGCCCTCTGCTGAGAATAACCTTGGCTTTGTACAACACTGCTTATCAGAAATTATAAACATCGGTGTGTTATCAACATTGTTTTTTCTCCTATAACCAAAACAGAGCATCATACCAAACACTCTGAAGAAAACAGTTCAGTCCCAGCTGTAATCAAGCAGCTACCTTAGTACAATAATATTGTGGGAGGCAGTATCAAATACCTTACTGAAGTCAAAATAAACATCAGTTGCTCTCTTCCCATCCACAAACGTAGCAGTTCTACTGCAGAAAGCAACATGTTCATCAGCCTATCTTAAGAAACAGCCAATATGAACTCTCACATAGCCTGAAATGCTTTGCTAGAGGAAAGACCTCATGACTGACTTGCAACTAAAGCATGGCTGACGAGCCTCTAGTTTCCCTGAATGGTCCTTCAGACCTTTTGGAGACAGGCTTCCTTTCATTTGGTCACCACAAACATCCTGTGATCTGTACAAATTCTCAGAGATTACAGACAGCCTTCTAAGGACATTGGTCCTTAGCACCATTCAAGTGCTGTGACCCTGACCTCAAGGACACTAAAACTGTTTTGCTGTTGTTTTTGTTTGTTTGTTTTTTTGATCTCTGACCCCATTTTTAAGATTTTGTTCAGGGAATAACTACCAAGAGACAAATCAAATGCAACGATCTTGCTGTACTGACAAGGAATTAAAATGTTCAATACTCAAAAATCTATTTGTTAGAAAACCTAAATCTGTAGGCATTATACTGAAGTCACAGTTATATTAATGCAATTCTTTAGAATCAAAACTTCCATTTACTTGGAGAATACCTTTTCTCCAAATTAAAATAGTATTAATGAGTAA